ATTAATAAGAATTAATAAGAATTAATAAGAATTAATAAGAATTAATAAGAATTAATAAGAAGTAATAAGAATTAATAAGAATTAATAAGAATTAATAAGAATTAATAAGAATTAATAAGAATTAATAAGAATTAATAAGAATTAATAAGAATTAATAAGAATTAATAAGAATTAATAAGAATTAATAAGAATTAATTAATAAGAATTAATAAGAATTAATTAATAAGAATTAATAAGAATTAATAAGAATTAATAAGAATTAATAAGAATTAATAAGAATTAATAAGAATTAATAAGAATTAATTAATAAGAATTAATAAGAATTAATTAATAAGAATTAATAAGAATTGAATTAATAAGAATTAATAAGAATTAATTAATAAGAATTAATAAGAATTAATTAATAAGAATTAATAAGAATTGAATTAATAAGAATTAATAAGAATTAATAAAAATTCATAAAAATTCATAAAAATTCATAAAAATTCATAAAACTTAATAAAAATTATTAAAATTGTTGACATTTTGACAATAATTATGACATACTCTTCGCGTACACATTTTTCCAAAGTGCCGCATTAAATTTATTAATGCAAGGAAACTACTGCTAATAAGTTAGAAATTAGTAAGACCTTCATGAAATCTGAAAAAAAAAAACTTGATTAACGACGAAAAACTACTTTTCCCATTTAAAAAATATAACTTTATATTGATATTCTGGTTTGGGACATCCTGTATAAATGCAACTAATTTTAAATTGTAACTGCCACTGAGTTATATATTTGTACCAAAGGAATTTTTAATATATTTTGTAGTTTACCCACCAGACTCCGTCCCGTTAAAGGTGGCGCATCCTGTACATATCTTCTATTAATATTAAAACCGTTCTAAAAATGTTTTAACACAATTATTGTCACTCACTTTATCGGCAAAGAAACTAAAGGGACTCATTTGAAAAATCACCAATCACCTTTCAGTAATTACAATTAGATTCTTTAACATAGAAGACTATTTTCTAAAATCCCATCCGAAATTCATTCAGAACAACCCATTTTGAATGGGCTTCTATTTATTTGAATTCTTTACAGATTCCACAGGAAGTACCATGTGATGTAGGGAAAGAAGAAGGTGACAAAGCTGCACCAGCCACTACTGCGGTAAGTATTTGATTTTATGTCAAACATTTAGATCTACTTATAAAATAATGTCTAGAAAATTCCCAATTTCGATAACGCAAAAACCAAAATACGATTAATCTGCTGAGAAGCTTTAAGTAATAGTGTTCAGTTTAAACATTTGTACTTTGCATTTGGTTCCATTCTAGTTCAATTCTAGATTCTGATTGTCTATAATTGGGAGAACTTTGTTTAATTGTGATTGTGAAGCCTCTACTTATGCCTGTTAGTAATTTTCGTAATTTCTTCTGGAATTGATTCAACTTGGAGTTCTCGGTGCAGGTCTTTATTCCGAACATACCAAGGAGCATTAACTATGTTTCTGAGAATTCTAGGCAATTGTAATTGACTTTACTGGTAGACCGACCCTCAAAATTGTAGGACACATGTACATACTGGCTTTGAAACTTGTTTGTAATCAGGACTTTATTTTGAGTGGACAGTGAAGAGTGCCTTCCTATAAATCAATATATATTTGTATATTTAATCTTTAGCTGTTCAGTTTTCATTTTTACATGCTCCTTCCATGTTCTTTCTTGATTATACAGGGTGTCCTTTAAAATGTGTCCCAAAATTCTCAGGCAGATTCCTTAACCAAAAAATGGAAAAAAAGTTCCTATAGACCTATGTCCTAAAGTGCCCCCTAAGCGAGCAACAGCCTCTCGAAATCATTTTTTTTATTTTGATTTTTTGAATTTTCTTAAAAATGGAAACAAATAAAAGAACCAAATTTTGGCTGTTAAATATGATCAATAATAGTGACCTTTTGACACCTTCAAAAAGAAATTATTTGGTCAGGGGTGTACTTGGGAATTTTTTAAAAATTTTGATTATTCATAACTTTTTTGTGTTTTTGGTAATGACTTATCCATATTTTTTTTTACATTCTACATTGAAAACTACGTCAAAAAGGAATACTTGTTTGATCTCGATTGGAGCAGCCGTTTCCGAGAAAACATCATCCAAAGATATTCGTCCACTTTAGCTTAATTTTCAATTTTCCTAAATTACCTCGGTGAATCTCGTAAATAAAAATAACTTTTTTAGCTCTCTCTAAATAATTGTAGTTCAAATGTCGTGGTGGGACTATTTTTATTTAATAATAAGAAACGGTTTAAAAAAATATTTATTCTAAAAAAACAAATCAAAAAAAATTAAAGCAGATGCTCAATGTGGCGACCATTGGTTTCCACACACAAGCGCAACCGTCGCATCATAGACTGTCTTACACGAAAAAATACTTCAGGATTATTCCTAAGAACTTCGCAATGATGAAAAACTCGTTCTTCCAATTCTTCAACTGTTTCAACAGGACTGGAATAAACCAATGATTTTAAATAACCCCAAACAAAAAAATCCATTGGATTTAGATCTGGTGAACGAGGTGGCCAGTTAACAGGACAACCTCTGCCAATTACTCTACCCTCAAATCTTTCGTTAAGGTGCTGTCTAGCTTCAAGGCTGTAATGTGGTGGAGCTCCATCATGCATAAACCACATGTTATGTCTGATTTGAATCGGAATATTATCAAGAAGCTCATGTAAGTTATTTTCCAAAAAAAGCCTGTATGCTGCTCCATTTAACCTATTCGGCAAAACAAATGGTCCAATAAGGTAATTATCAATAACTCCAGCCCAGACGTTTATTGAAAATTTATCCTGGTGGTGACGTTCAACAACCGCGTGAGGGTTATCTTCAGCCCATTCATGCATATTTCGAAAATTTATTATACCATCTCTAGTGAAACCAGCTTCATCGGTAAATAGCACTTTATTAAGAAACATTGCATCTTGATTACATCTTCCAAGAAACCATTCAGAAAAGATAACTCGCGGCTCATAATCAGTAGCTTTAAGTGCCTGAACTTTTTGAATGTGGTAAGGGTACAATTGTTGTTCACGCAAAACTTTCCATACCGTGTTACGTCCGACTCCCACTTCTGAAATTAGATGAGAGAATCTGTGCAGTGAATAGTTAAGAAAGAGAATCCATTGATTTGGGAAATCAGATTTTTTCTGCATAACGCAACTCTTTTCGATACGAAAAGTCGTGAAATGTAAGAGAAGCAATAACAAGTAAAAAAACTAGTTTTATACGATAATAAGTAATTACTTACCATTTGCTATTTTTCTGGTACTTGTCGATGGGGTTTCAGCTACCCTATCCAAAATTGCTTCTTCCAAAGCAGGAGTTCTCACATAATTTTGTCTTCCACTGTTACTAGAGTTTTTCTTAAATGTACCAGTTTCCCGAAGTCTATCGTCAATTCTAGAAAACGTCTTAGCGCATGGAAGATGCCTATTTGGAAAGCGCTCCTGATAAAGTCTGCGAGCTTCATTGGCATTTCCAGAAGCGAGTCCAAAACATAAGTGCATGTCCGTCATTTCGCCGAATGTGTAATCATTATTGTAGTTATTGTGAGCCATTTTAAACAAAATAATAACAATACAACGAATCGCACCAGAACACTTTTAGAAATAATGTTTAACTGAAGAAACATTTTTATCAATGAGCGAAAAAAATTATCCACGAAACACAAAAACGCCAAAAAAATACATATTTTTACTTTTTTATTCTAAACAGCTAAATACAAACCTCATGGTCTTCATAATAAATAAATGGGAACTAAATTTTTAAATTTTATTTAGAGAGCTAAAAATAGTATACAGGGTGATTGATTAGTGTGAGGAAGCTCTGTAGATCTGTTATAATAAAAGTAGGCAGCTTCAAGCTTCACATTTTAAAATTAGTTACGATGTGACAGGGTGTTTCATAAGGCCGTGCCAAATCAAAGTTATGTTTTTTAAATGGAACACCCTGTATATTTTTATATTTTTAGAATCTGCTCGATAATCTGATTTCAATGATATATCACACTTGTTATCTAATATGAATAGTAAAGGATCTACAGCTACTCAAAAATCACATTTTTTCAAATTCAGGTGGCTGTTGTAGCCAAACAGTTGGAAATCGAGGAAAACGGCTTACAGTCCCTATCCTAACTTTTTAAGGTCTATTCAGTGACATAAAATACATATTATTTGATACAGGGTGATCAAAAATCCAAAATCACATCCGATTTTTGATCACCCTGTATCAACTAATATTTTTTGCCACTGAATAGACCTTCAAAAGTAAGGATAGGGACATGTAAGCCGTGTTCCTCGATTTCCAACTTTTTGGCTACAACAGCCAAAATTGAAAATTAACCTAAACTGCACGAATATCTTTGGATGATGTTTTCTCGGAAACGGCTGCTCCAATCGAGATCAAACAAGTATTCCTTTTTGACGTAGTTTTCAATGTAGAATGTAAAAAAAAATATGGATAAGTCATTACCAAAAACACAAAAAAGTTATGAATAATCAAAATTTTCAAAAAATTCCCAAGTACACCCCTGACGAAATAATTTCTTTTTGAAGGTGTCAAAAGGTCACTATTATTGATCATATTTAACAGCCAAAATTTGGTTCTTTTATTTGTTTCCATTTTTAAGAAAATTCAAAAAATCAAAATAAAAAAAATGATTTCGAGAGGCTGTTGCTCGCTTAGGGGGCACTTTAGGACATAGGTCTATAGGAACTTTTTTTCCATTTTTTGGTTAAGGAATCTGCCTGAGAATTTTGGGACACATTTTAAAAGACACCCTGTATATTCTGTCTTGCTTCACTTTTTAGGTTTTCTCTTTCCTATGGTTCTTGTAAGTCCTCCCTTACCCAATTTACAATTCATCGTTCTTTTAGGCCTAAAGTCCCTGCGAACATTTTCTTGCACACTCTTACTAGTTGCACGCCGTTTGAGAAAATATTTCATTGAACAATCCCTTCATGATGGGCCTTCTTGTCTTCCTCGCCTCCTTTTAACACCTTCTACTTTGACCAATTCCTTTTCTTTCCAAGACATTTTTGACCGAAACTTATTATAAAGCCGTTGCCTCATTTCTTCACTTAATATTTGACATTTAAGTTTCGTGGTCTTTTGTCCAAGTTTGCTGCTACAGGGTGCTAAAATAAATCTAGCTGGTTTTTCTTCGCTGTAGTCCCACTCTGACCCCCTTTTCTTTTTGCCTTTGTATTTTAAATCTTGCTCCCTCTCCTTCTTGTTTTTAAGTTGGTCCCATCTATCTTCCTTTTCTTTGTTATTGAAAGATCTTTTTTTTAATGTTGGTTCCACATTCTCCTCATTTTTCTCTAATTCGGAGTTAGCCTCATTGCCAGATGGTTCCTTGTCAGCCTCAGTTTCGTTGACACCATTTTTATAATTACTGTTATCATGAAATTAGAAGTTAGAAATATTTGCAACATTTAAAACCCTTTCGTTTTCAGCCTCATTTTGGTTTACACTAGTAACAATATCCGCAAATTCATCAATATAATGGTCGCCAAGATCTGGCATTGAAATAGTTAATCGTTTTATTAGTTCTTCTTCAATTATTTGGCTCATTTCCTCACCAGAAGGTTCTTCAAGTGGCTGCATTAAACAATCAAAAATACTATTATTTAGTTCTGACCCTTCTTCAAAAACTACTTTTGCTAGTTCCAGCATTTTTTGTGTTCGAGACAATGACATATTGGACAACTGCTGGGAAAAAGCCTCACGTGAATACTAAATTGAAATTAATGAATACTTTCGTTGATAAAATAAAATTTAAAACGCCTTTCAGAAATGCTTTTATTTAAAATGTACTTGAATCCATCAAATGGGATTTTACAGACTCCACAGTGGCGTATCTAGCTCTTGTACCTGGTGGGGGATATCAACCGGCACCGGTGAACACAAAACACCCCTTAAAAATACCCGAAAAAAAGGGGAAGACAAGAAAAAATCTGAAAGTCGGAAAAAATGCTCCCTAAAATAACGCTCTTATGGTTTTAAAATAGCCTATTTTTGAAGAACTTAGGGCGATGTCATACTATACACTTTGCCGGGTCCCAACCGGTTCCCGGTAAAACGCATAGTATGGTACCACCCCTTTGGCAAAGATAACCTAGAAAGAAACATTTTAATTTGGGTTAAAGTAGCTTTATTTCCGAGTCTTTCTGTTACTACGGATTTTTTTATATCCTGAGTGGGTATTTACTCCCATTATCCCCTCTTGTATACGCCGGTGGCAGCCCCAAGTTTTTTCGTAGACACACAAAACTAGGTACTAGAGTAGTTATGAAACCCATTATAAATACGTAGATACTTCAAGAACAGAGTAATTTAAAATAAAAGTTTATTTTCTAGTCTTTATTTTAGTATTTTAAAGTTTTTACCCAAAATCCCTTAAGTCTGATTGTACATTCCAAGTTCATTTCTTCACGTGTTGTCAATAATACACAAAATGCCTAACTCCACAGTAAAATTATTTGGGTAATATTCTTAAGATATTAAAATAAACGAAAGTATATCTTCATATTTACCTTATTATTTACTTATTCTTCTACACACCTAACAAGAAATTAGGAGCTTAAATTTGGGGATTATAGTAAGAATATAGCCGTTGAGGAATGCATTTATTTTCATTACATTTCAAAATTTAAAACCTTTTGATATTTTTTTTTCTTGGAATCTGGAAGGAATGAAAACTTTAAAATATATGGGTATTCTAGATATTATTGCCCAATTTATTTTGCCAAAATTTTAATTTTTAAAAAAAATTACTTTTTGAGATATTCTTGTCCAAAAAGTTTAAAGGTGCTGTAATCACCTTAAACCATAGACATAATATATTTAATACAATAAATATTTATTTTTTTACATAAATATAATCTAATAGGAGAGAAAAGAGGGGGGGGGGGTCATTGGCCGCTACGGCACTCCACTGGAAGTAACTAGATACCTTCTGTTTATTTGAAAATAAGTACTTGAATGATCTGATAAAAAGTATATTTCTTTCACCCTATATTTGGCAAGCGTAATTTGCACTAGGCTGTTATTTGTCAATCGAATTTTGAGACATCTTGAAGCATCTCTGGAATGTATACAGTTCGGCTATAAAAAAACTCTTGTCAACCTTGATCTTTTACTCTTGCAGTTGTTTTTTTACTAGTTGTACAGAGTTACCTATTGGTGGAGCGAAATTCATGCAAAAAGTCGCTTATTTCTGGAGATAAAAAAAATGGAGTACAATCAGATCAGCAATGGGATTCTCATCTTTCAATACAGCAATAGTCGAGAGGCCTATCTTTGTTCCACAGACTACGATTCTCATGTAATGTCTCTCTGTACTCAACACGTACATAAGAATCCCTGTGCAGACCACATAGGTTTTGTAAAAATTTTTGAAAACATTTTTATATACGAAATTTTATTTAAAAAACAAAAAACAGGAAAATTTGACGATTTTTAAAAATTCCGTTTTTTGAGTTAACATAGTAATAATTCTAAAACCAATTGAGAAATCGGCTATTTTTATTTATTGAAAGTACAGAGAAAATTGGTTCTCTAACAGTGCTAATTTTGTTGGCAAATATGGTTTAGAAATACATATATTTAAATAATGAACAAAATATAAATTCCTTAAAAATGTATGGACATTTTTAATAATAATATTTGTAGAAATGACTCATATTATCTGGAATTGATTTTTGAATTAGAAACAACGGAACATAGCAATCTTTCAAAGTTCATCCACAATATTTCAAAATATCTGTTCCAGTTTTTGCAATGTTGCTATGATACCATATTCTTAATTGATAAATACTTCTACAATGTACCATAAATATATATTATTTTTTATCTACGTAGATGAAATATTAATAGTATTGAGGGAGATTTCGAAAATCCAGAAAAAGTCATATCGATAAATAAATAGGATTCCGTAAATTATAATTTGTGTAGTGACCAGGAAGCAGCAGATACTCGAATAATTTTTTCGAGTAATACACGAAATTTAATCAATATATCCTCGTACAATCAATAGGCACTGTCGTTTAAATTTTATTAATTCACTTTTATGTATCCATTAAAATGTTAAATATGAGACTATTTATACAACTTGTGCACAATAAAAATATTGAAAATTATGAATAAACTGGAGGTTTATTGTGATAATTTTATCGGTTTAAATTGCCGAAACAAATGCTAGAGAAATCGGGGAGAAATCTGGGTGCGCTAACAAACCAAAGACGATTAAATTGAAAAAAATTCTGTTTTGGGCGGGGCTCAAACTTCTTTAGAATTTGTTTCGGCAATTTAAACCGACAAAATTTTCAAAATAAACCTTTACTTTATTCATCACTTTCAGTTACATTACGTTAATGGCGTTTCCGTCACTAGTTAACTTAACACCTGGACGAAAAGAGGGTTTTTAATGCATGTGATGTGATGTACCTTCGACGATGCCACATATTTGACCATTGAAGAGTTGTAGAGTTAAAAAATATTCTGATAAACTGAGTTGGGATCGAATCTAAATACTCAGATTAACAACTAGGACACCAGATAGATAAGCTCTGGTGGTCTAAGAGTTATGGCGTTGGGACGACTATCCAGATCTCGCGAGTTCAAGCCCCACCCAGAGCAGAATTTTTTTCAAATTTGCTTTGCTTTCTTAGCGCACCCAGGTGATCTTAAACCTCACCCTTCTACATTTGATGATAGAGAATGTGGCAAAAAGGACACGATATAGAATGATCAGGAACGGAGTAATTAGACGAAAGTCTACTTGCTTCAGGACTAAAGATACCTGGGACATGCCCCAGGATGAAATGCTAAGAAGTACAGTTTTGTGAAAAGCTTTAAAATCACAAAGCTGGGCAAGAAAGAATGGAGACAAGAACCCATCGCGCTTGCAACCGAAAGACATGCTATTCAGTGGTATACAGATGGTTCCAAAACCATAGAAGGAATAGGAGTTTATGGGCCGAGAACCAAGCACTCTGAAAACTTGGGAAAATACCCAAGCATCTTCCAGATGGAAATTCACGCCATAGAGAAGTGTATACAGTTTAACATCGAAAGAAACTATCATAGATAAGAGATTATCATCATGTCCGATAGTCAAGCAGCCATCAAAGCGCTGAGCTCTTACATAATCAGCTCAAAAATGGTCTGGAGATGCCTAGAACAATTGAATGAGCTAGGCGAGAAAAATAGAGTTTCTCTCACTTGGGTCCCGGGACATACAGGCTAACGAGATTGCAGATAGTCTTGCAAGGAAAGGGGCTCAAACACTCGTTGTAGGACCTGAGCCGTTCTGCGGTATCAGCAGTAACATGATATTAGGAGAGATTAAAAAAGATTTGGGCAGTAGAAGAACCGATAACTGGAATAATCTCTTGGGGCTGAGACAGGCTAATATACTTCTGGGTGAATATAACCAGAAAAGATCGGAAGCCTGCATCTGCCTGAGCAAGTACAGGCTACGGGCATTGCCGACTAAAAGGACATCTTAGTAAATTGAAAGTAGTAGAGGATAGTGAGTACAGATTCTGTGAGGACGAAACCTTCATTCACATTCTAACTGAATGTGTAGCACTCCAGAATCCAATGGTACTATATCTAGGAGGATATCAAATAAAAGAGGGAGATTTACCTAACTTAAAGCCACTCCAAATTCTACACTTCTTTGAGAAAATAGTATTGGATGGGTCTTTATAGGCATTTAGCGACAGAAGGGGGCACAATAGATCATTTAGGTTGCTATGTATTAACACCCCATTCCCAACATAACATAACATAGCGCACCCAGATTTCTCCCCGATTGCTCCACAATAAAAATAGACGTTATTTACCAATAGACAAAATTGTTGAACATTTGGTAACGTCAATTTGTTCGTGTCTCCTATCAGTTCATTGTTTGACTGGATGTGATACTACAAGTGCCTTTTACAAAATGGAAAAAAAAACAGCATTTGAAATTCATAAAAACAAATCTTAGTACATTGCAAGATTTATCCAAAATACCACTTCTACCAGAGCATGATGACATTAGTTACTAAATATATGACGTTCTCCTTAGTAAGCAAAATCAAAGGTAGAGGGTTAAAATTTAATTTTTATCTTTGCTGTCTTTCATTTGAATGTAATTTAATACCTGTTGAAGTATTACCTATTTTGTGACATGGTTTTGTTTTATTTATTTTATTTTTTTTATAAAAAAGGTCTTTTACTGTACAGAAATAAGAACAATAGTATTCGTACTCTTAATAATTTACGCTTCTTAAGGTAAATCAACTTTATGTTAGTTTGCATGAAAGTCTGCGTATATAAAATACAATATACAGGGTGTCCCGAAATTAGACGGTCATATTTTAACAGCATAATCTACATCCTAAAATAAGAGTAAAAGTTTTTATAAACATAGGTCCGAAAACGTTTCTTTTCCGAGATACAGGGTGTTAAAAGTGAAGTCCTGATGACACTCTTTTGTAAATATTTCCTAAACGTTTAAAGATAACTAAGTGAAATTTAATACAATTGCTTACCTCTTGGCTCCCTATTTAATGGACTAAACTCCAGTTTTTGATCATCTTCATAGGTGGGTAAATTAGGGGGGGCTTAGGGTAAAATCGCCCTAAGTTTTTTTTGTTGACAGTTTTTAACATTTGTGACTATAAAATTTGGTTAACCAATGTTTTCTT